GAACGGCCAATATCGAATTCGGTCACACTTGCATCGATCCTTGCGATTAAACAACTCTAGGGCCCTCGGGGGGGGGGGGGGGGGCCAAAAAAATTACGAAAAATCGAAGCTTACCGGCGGCGGTGCTCTCGGGTGCGGTGGCTCTCTGGTGAAGTTCGTGTTTTGTGATTCGGCTCCGATCAACCTGTAGAGAAAAGAATGGTGATCACGGTGATATAAAAATTGCATTAAACGGAGGCCGGGAAGGGCCTCATCGGAGGCAAAAACCGAGGAGGGGCGCGGCGGCGCCGCTGGGCTTCGGCCGTGTTTTCCGACCGATTGGCCGGGATTTTGGCTCCGATTTGGCCACAGGGGAAATCAGCTTGGAAAAACGAGTCGGGGTATGAAATTTACCTCGATCGGCGGTCGGAAATCCCTCCAGTGCGGCGACGGGTGGCGGCGGCCGGCTTCTGGTTCGTCTTCTCTGACGAGGGCAGGCGGCTAGGGTTTGTGGTCTGGTGTGGGGGTCTTATTTATACCCTTTTGCCTTTTGATCTCATCCGTCCATTTTGATTTAATCTGGGCCGTCCGTTTTTGATTGAATCTGGGCCGTCCGTGCGATTGCATCTGGGCCGTCCGATCGCACGTTCGATCTGGGTCGTCTGATCGCGCATACACGGATCGCCAACGTGGCCCGTCCTGGATCGACGTGGTCTTACCACGTGGCAGGTCCCGGTTGGCCGGGACTGCTGACTGGGTCTGCTGACGTGGCCCCCTTTTTTTTTCTCTTCTTCTTCAATTTCCCGGGCGCTACAATTAGAAAGGACAATCCGTACATTTGAGGATATGCTTCGAGCTTGTGTCCTTGACTCTGGGGGCCATTTGGACGACCATCTGCCCCTCATAGAGTTTGCCTACAACAACAGCTACTAAGCGAGCATTGGCATGGCTCTGTATAAGGTGTTATATGGGCGCCCATGCGGATCGTCGATTTGTTGGGAAGAAATGGGCGATAGAAAATTGTTCGACACGGAGTTGGTAGAGGAGACTACATCCAAGATAGTTAAGATCAGGATGAACATTCAGACGACTCAAAGCAAGCAGAAGAGTTATGCGGACACCCAGAGGAGAGATTTAGCATTTGAGAAAGGCGATCGAGTATTCCTTAAGGTCACTCATTTCAAGAGAATTAGTAGGTTTGGCAGGAGGGAAAAACTGAACTCCCGCTTTATTTGACCATTTGAAGTCTTAGACAGGATTGGTATCGCCACCTACAGACTAGCACTACCTCCAGAGCTTTACAAGGTCTACAATGTGTTTCATGTGTCCATGTTACACAAGTACAATCCGGACTCCTCTCATATCTTGGCCCACGAACCTCTCCCACTCCAAGAGGACTTATCCTACGAGGAAGTACCAGTCGGCATTACGGATCGAAAGAGTAGATTACTCCGCAACCGAAAAATATCCTTTGTAAAGGTCGTATGACAGAACCACACCAAGGGAGGCTACATGGGAGCTAGAATCAGACTTTATAGCTCAGTACCCCTAGTTGTTCGATCGAGAGTGAGAGGCAAATTTGAGGGAACAAATTTCTTTTAAGGGGGGAGGAGAGTTGTAACACCCAAAAAAATTTCTTTTCATTTATTATTATTATTATATTATTTTATTTTATTTTATTTTATTTTATTTTATTCTATATAAATATAATTAAGTATTAATAGAATTTAATTTAATTTAATAAAAATAATAATAATAAGGGGTAAAAATTATTTAGGAATTTAATTAAAGACAATTTTGGGAAAAATGGGTGAAAATTTGGGTTTTGGGGGTATTTTTGAAAGAAAAATCAGAAACCGGAGGTCAAAATACAATTTAGAAAAATTGTGTCACGCCAGCTGCCCGATCAGCAGCCCCGGCCAACCAGGACGCGCCAGGTGGCAGAGAGGCTGACGCAGGAGGCCACGTGAGAGGGGGCTACGTGGGCGATCCACGTGCACGCGATCGAACTCCTAAGATTCGTTCCTGCGCGCACGGATGGCTCAGATCAAAAATGCAAACAGACGACCTAGATTGAATCACGATGAACGGTCCAGATTCATTCCCTATTTAATCGCGATCGGACAGTTTAGATTAAAAGGCATGGACGACTCATATCAAAAGCGGATGGGTATAAATAACCTCATCCGCACCCAAACCCTAACCCTTGCCGCCAGAGCCCCTCGCCGGAGAAGACAGCCCAGCCACCAGGGAGCCGACCGTCGTTGTACCAGAGCAATTTTCGGCCACCAAACGAGCTAAAAATTCTACTATTTGCTCAGAATTTGATTTTAAACCCACCTATGGCCAAATCGGAGCGAAAGCACCGACCAATTGACCGAAAAAAGCCGTCGAAGCTCAGCGGCGCCGCCGCGGGGTGTCTTGATTTTTGCCTCCGATGAGGCCCTTCCCGATTCTCGTTCGATGTGATTTTTTCACTGTTGTGATCACCGTTTCCTCCTCTATAAGTTGATCGGAGCAAAATACTCAACTGCGACGTGAGCTAGAGGAGCTGCCGCACCGGAAAGCCCCACTGCCGGTAAGTTTTAATTTTCTGTATTTTTTTCAGCCCACTGAGGGCCCTAAATGTATTTTCTCACAGGAACCGATGCAAGTTTAGCTGAATTCGGCCGAAAATAGCCAACTCGAAGCGGATTGTCGTTGCTTGCGGCGGCGCCGTCGGTGGAGCACGGCGAAGCCTCCGTGCTGGAATTTCGAAATTGGTCGAGTAGGCACTGGGTCTGATTTTTGGGTTATTTGGGACATGTGTAGGTACCTTAAGCACATTTCAGTTCCTGAGAAAAATTCAGGGAACCCAGGGACTGCCCGTAGGCGCAGTGAAAATTTAGTTTTCAGCGTCAAATCAAGTAAGAACCCCTCATCCTATTTCCTATCATGGAATTAAAGTTTGAATAAATGGTAATATTGTATTTTGTACAAATTAATAGATATGCATAATTAATTAAGGTTGCTAATGGAGCCCGAACCGGTTATTGTCCTCTGTTGATTCCTGCTTGATTTGTTTTGCAGTTTAAATGCATTATGGTATCTGGTTTATCTATTCTGTGGTTTTAAATGCATGAATCACTGCTTACTTCACTACTGTTTGATTTTGGAAATATAAGATATGTTTGCTTTATTTGATGCACGTTACTTGTTTATGTATTTATGTTTGAGTTGGTAACGGAGACTAAGGATAAATAGGAATGGGATGTGAGTTGATAAATGGATAAGATGACAACCTCACTAGATATCCTGAGAGATGGTGGACGGACCGGGTTCATAGGGAACCGTATCGTGAATGTTGTCTCATACCGGACCGGGTATGGAGACTTGGTCATTTGGCGCTCATACCGGACGGTGTATGGGGACGGCCCGCTTCACCCTTATACCGGATGGGGTATTGAGGTTTATTGTTTTGGCGCTCATACCAAACGGGGTATGGGGACGCGCTGGAATTAAGATTGTTTAAAGGGAATGGTTCATGTGTAGCGAGGACCCCTATGGATCCCCATGGATACTAGTAGGCTGAAGAAAAATGAGAAACAGTAATAGTCAGTTATTGTTAATGAATACGGGTTTATGATGTATTTTATGTTACTGATTATGCATGAAATTGTGATCTGTATGATGTTATTGTCTTTATAGGTTATTTTCACAGGTTCTCCAATGGTAAGAAAAAGGGTAAGTGGTTTTATTTTAAATAACTGTACTGGTTTAAAATTTGTGCTCCATTGGTTGTTTTCGGTTTTCTACCAACCTTTACTTCTTTAACGGTAATATAGTGTGATATCCTTACTGGGTTAGTGTAGCTCATTCCTTATTTAACCATTTCAGATCAGGAGGACCTGGTTCCCGAGCCCGATCCACAATAAGATGGTGAGTAGATGCTATATACTTTGTAGTTTATTTTATTTTTTTCATTTCTCGTATTTCTTTTAGAGAACTTATTCCGTGATATTGTTTAGTACTTTTAAGTTATTGTGTAAGGGATATTAACCTTAATCTTTTATTTCCTTCCGCACTCAGATTTTTATATGTATTTCCTTTTGAATTTCCGGGACTGTTACAAAACAATTTAAAAATTTTTCTTTTTTCTAGAGAAAAAAAGTAAACTACATCAACTAAGATTCTAATCGGCTGAGGAATAAAAAAGCAATAAAGTATTTTATTCATTTTGATTTTTATACTGAAAAGTTCAATTTCTTCCTCCCTTTGCTCTTTGATCCTTCCCCCAGGGTTGGCTATCTGATTACAAGTTGCTTATTTCATACATTACATATTTATATAATTTTTTATAATAAGTTTGACAATCAAAGTCAAGTCAACTTTCTCCTATAAATCATATGAAAAAAATGGATCCCTATTTTGTTGCTTTGCGAACTTATGGTTACAGTGACCTCTTTTATAAAAAAAAAATGTATCAATTGTTTCAATTAAATTGTAGTTAGTCAAAACTATATGTTTAAACATACTTTATTCATGCTAGTATTTATTATATTAATTTTGAATATTGATGTAGATAGAATAACCAATTGAATTATTTCAATCATAAAACTTAGTGAATATAACATAACTCGATTTCTCACATAATTGTATTAACAATGAATACTATGATTTAAATATAAAAAAGATCTTATGATCAATTAATTATTCTAGAATCAGCCACAAGCATCTTTCAACTGTAATTATAAATGAGTGAAAATATAAGTAAATTGATCTAACCATCCCAATTTTTTTAAAGCATTTCAATAAAAAATAATGATACTTCTTAAGAAAAATCACACATAAATATGTATTTGTGTTTGACATTCTTCTTGGTAGCTAGCATGCTTACTTAATTTTTATAATTAATATATATATACATACAAAGAGAGAGAGAGAGAGAGAGAGAGAGAGATGTATAGAGAATTAAAGTACTATAATTAAGTACTAAAGACATTCCACCTTTTTTTTGTTGGTGGTGTAGATGAACCCTATTTTAAGATTTATATAATAGAAGAATATTTACATAAATATGTTATACATGTATAAGAACTAACTAGCTACTTTAGTTGAAGATAACAATATAATCAACTAGAATAGCTGCCAGCAAAGTATGCCAAAGGTCCAACAGCAGCGGCATTAATATAAGTTGTTGGTTCTGAATGACTGTAATCAGTTCGATCATCAGGAAATCCATCATTTTGGTTAGGACCTCCAACTATAGCCCCTACTAAAATATTAGGATTAGGGTTTTGAGTATAGTAAAATTGTTGAAAACCACTATCACAACCTATAGATTGAGGATGTCTTGCTAGTGAAGGCAAAGAAGATCCTCTGTGGTGAATTCTTTTCGGAAAGTTTGGTCCAAATCCCACCATATAAGATATTTTAATTGGATTAGCTCCAAGTATATAATCAACCTGAATCATTCAAAATACATAATTGTAAAGATAATTTAAAATTAAATTAAAATTTTTAAGTATAATTAAGAAAATAAGTTAAAAGAATAAAAATATTTAATACAAACTGCAAAAATTAACACAAATGAGCAAATAATTATGGAAAGAAGCTACTTGCCTGCTTTTTAGCTACATTGATCAAAGAGTTGGGAATGATCACGACATTGTCACAGTTGAATGTGTGTTTAGTAGCTTTCATGTACTTACCATAAGTGGTAAGTAGAAATGTTATAGAGGTAACATATTGTAAGTTGTTGTCAGGAAGCTTGTACATCAGCCCTCCTGCATTGATTAATTATTATAATATATAACTCAAATTATTAGTGACACGCGACTTAAACTCTTATATAAATATAAAATTTGAGTATCACATATATACATATATATTAGTTAAAAGAGATTTTTTGTTATTTTAACACTATTTAGTTTTTAGATATCAAAATTAAATATATAATTCTTCTAATAAAAATATTTAATTCATATTATAGTTAAGTAATTTATAAACAAAATTAATATCAAATGATAAACATTATGGGTTAATTACCTTGAGTGTATTGTGTACTTGAAGAGGGGGAGTAGGGTAATGTCTTGCACATGAAGTTCTGTGCCATTTGATTGAAAGACTCAAACCTTTCGTCCTTGTTTAGCAAATATCGCTGCACATAGTAACATTTCTCACATGAAAGGTGGGTCCCACAAAAAAATGTGAAACTTGTTTTAATATAAAATGAGGAATAGTACCCCTCACGAGATACTACAGTCTTTCGCATTTGTTGTTGCAATTTTTTTTTTATTTTTTAAATATTTAGAAATCAAATATCCAAAAAAAAAAAAAGAAAAATAATCTCTATAAGTAAAAATTAGGATAATTTATTATTTTAGTAATTGAATTACAACTTATATTATGATTTGATAATTTTTTTATTAGAATTTAATTCTCATACTTACAAATTATTTCAGTTCATATAATTTGAAAAATTTTGACAGAAAAAGAAAAAAAAAATTATATTTGATTTTTTTTTACGGTTTGGAATCTATGATAAAAGTAAGATAATCTTGAGTATTATGGAATAATAGACATTTGTATTAATGTTAAGTTAAGGAAGAAAGGAAAAACTTTTAATGTTAGTTCAGGAAAAAATTATGAACTAGAATAATTTTAAGAAAGCATAATAATAATAATAATAATTAACGATATATACGTGTGTGTGTGTGTGTTTATAGTGAATGGTAATATACCCTGGCTAGGAGAACATGAGCACCGGCATATTTGTTATCCCAGCTGAAGATGTCTGGTTGGTCTCCGCCGCCTAATGAATTTATGAAATTGAAATAAAATGCTTCATTTGTTGCCCTCAGCAGCCATGCCGCTCCCCACAGCAATTCATCCTGTAATATTTTTCAGTAACCTCAAATTAATATATATTTTTAAATAATCAAATATATTTGTACCAGTTAAACTTCTTAATTTCACCTTATAACCCGAATACGAGCAATAAAACGGACACGCAGCAGAGCCAAGCGAGTCACTATAGGCACCACGATACTGCATTGCGAATTGAAAGACCTTCTTTGCTGTTCCCACTAGCAGCCTAGAGTATTTTGGATCGATTCTCCGAAAAACTAACGACGCAGCGGCCAATGCAGCGGCTGTCTCGCCAGCGACATCTGAGCCGGGGTTGCTCGGAGACACGGAGTAAACGGTTCGAATGGTGTCCATGTCTTCGGGCCTTTCCCAACACTTGTGGTCCGCGTTGGGGTCACCTACACCGACGTAGAGCTTACCGGGCGTGGCCGTGGCGCATTTTAAGAGATAGTCCGTGGCCCAGCGGATCGCAGCCCTAGCGTCGCTCAATTGAGGGCCCATTCTCTTGCCGTACTCAAGCGTGCTCCATGATAGCATTGTCGTGGTGAAAGCCATTGGGAAATTGAACTTCACGTTGTCTCCGGCATCGTAGTAACCTCCGGTTAAATCCACCTGAACATAAGAAATGACCGATTAAAAACCAGAAAATTTCGATTTGATAAGAGAGAGTGGGAGAAGAGATGAGAGAATGAATAGTAAAAGAATATGCGTACATGAGCAAGGAAGCCATCAGAGAGGCCAGAGCTGGACCTCCATTTGACTTCCTGGTTCGAAGGAAGCCTTCCGGATCTCTGACCTTGGAAGAACAAAATCGATTTGGCCAAGGCTTCTCTGTAATTCGGGTTGCCATTGGCATTATCAAGGAGAAAAATCAGAGAACACAAGAAGAAAATCCAGAAAGAAGGAGGAGGAGGAGGAGTCGTCATCTCTAAATTCTAGCTAGCTAAATGTCTCCTACCTAGCTGGCTAGCTAACTGAATAGAAATTAGTAAAGGATGTTGTTGGTTGATTAGGTTATAACCAACAAGTAACCTTTATATAGGAGAATTGCAAAGTAGCAAATAATCGTGCCGCAAAATTTGGCTTTAGGTTTCATCTGGACAACTCTACTGATTAATCTAATTAAATTAATGTATTAACTTGTGCATAAATTAATTAATTTAGCAAACAAGATTCAGATATTAAGATTGCCGTAAACTTTTGACTGATTGAGGCACGTTTTCAACGAATCAGGCATCAATTAAATAAATAAATTATATTATACTGGTTAAAGCGTATATATATATATATGTATATGGGGGTATAATTGCATTCTAGAGTGGGTCCTTAGGGACAGAAATCGTGTGTGCGTGCAAAATGGGGTTGGTTAGTGGAGGTTATGCCCCCACCAAACTGGCATAAATGCCTGGTTCAGTGCCACAGACTGAGCGCCTAATTCTTTCTAGTCGTCGTTATAGGTACAAAAGCTATAACCATAAAAACCGCAAACATCATGCCGTAACTAACTCATTTTTCTCCAGCTCCATTAAAAAAATAATAATAATTTTCTGATAATTTCAAATTTTGTAGTAAATTTAAATATACAAATAAAATTAAAAAAATATCTAATCGTAAACAAATATATATATATATATATATGGGTGAAGCGTGAATGGCGCGTTTTTGGGAGCGGGGCGGGGGGCGTCCACGGATCGCGGGAAGAAATCGGCGCCAAAGTTTTAAAAAACTGTGGAGTAAATAATTTGTCTTTCTTTTTCACTTTGTTGCTTTCGTTTACTGCTTATGGATTCTTTGGATGCTTATCCACTTTCTTCTTCTTAAGCTTTATGACTAAGACTCTTCTCGTTTTTTTATAGAAAATAAATCACCCTTTTTTAAATTATCGAGGGGGAAAAAGAAAATGGTCTCTGTTAAACTCGAAATTATGGTGGAATCTAGCCATTTCTGAGAGTTGTGATATTTTTTTTTTATAACAAAAAAAAAAAATTTAATTAAAATATTTTTATAATTCAAAAATATATTTAACTCAAATTTATCTCCATTATTTTTTATTAACCCTAAATTATTATCGAATTTAAAATTTTAATCTCATATAAAGAAAATGGCACTACTAGAGCAAAAAAAAAAAAAAAACACACCCTTACCTAACATACTAAAGTATTATATTTGTAAATAATTTTAATGTCACCGCAATAAATAAAAATTCACAAATCAAATTAGAAGTGAATAAAAATTTTAAATTTAAATTGTAATATGATTATAATTTACGAGCTATATTAATAATTTACACTTGCATCAATTTTTTTTTTTGGAGAGAGATTATGAAATGAATTAATAAAGTTAAAAAAATATATAAAAAAAAAAGAAGTTTAAGACAATGTTATTTGATACATAATACAAATTAATTTGGATCATCCACATAACCATTGTTTATATTAATTGTCTTTATATTTTTTTTTAATTCTACAAATGATCATAGATTTGAATTAAACTTTAGAATAAAAATAACGTATGAGATTTAATTGAAGTTCGTTGAATCAACTAATTGCTCATTTAGTTGAAATATCGAAGTCATTTTCGTTGCCTGAGTTTACACCCTCATGATACTTCAAATGATCTTTATATTTTTGTACAAAAAAAAAGCCTCGAATGTTGTATGTCATGTAGACAGATTGAATGTCTTTGCCACGATATGCTCCTCACAATTTGGAAGGTCAATTGCATGAATGTGGGCAGTAAGGATGGCTTCAAATCCAATCGAGTGATATTTTCTGCATAAATGCACGTACTTGGCATCTTTTTGAATTCTTGACGCATGAATCATTACAGTACAAGGCAGTGTTTGGATGTTTTGAACGAAATGCATTTTTTTATACGAATAAAACAATCACAAGCCTTTGAAATTCAAGGCTTTAGATTTAACTACAAATTATTTTAAATATATATATTATATAGAGGTTTGTTAATTTAAGTATATTTTTTAAAAAATAAATTAGAAATGCCCATTTTGGGAGGATATTATAAATATCTTTATCTACGTTATATATACTATATGCGCGCACACACAAATTCCTTATTTTTAAAATTATGATAAATTATTAATTTAATTTTTGAAAATTTTAATACTCGTTATAATTTATTTTTTAAAACTTTTTAATAAAAATTGAAATAATTAAATTAAATTTAAATATTTTAAAAAAATAATTATAACAATGAAAATATATTTTCTTCACTGTTTCACATTAGCATTTGAACTTGATTACCACTCTCTATTCATAATGCATGAATGTATGCTAAGTGGCAGCCTTATCTTTCAAAGCTATCGAATGCTTGTCCCACGACTCAGCAATATTCACTCATTCTTATAAATATTAAAGCGAAAGTAAGTTCTGTAGACACTCAAGTAAGTTGCTCATGTAATTATCATGAAAAATGAAGGGAATAAAGAAACTAATTTATTTTTTAAAAAACTCACTTTCAAACTCAATGGTGAAATACTTCATAATAAGAAATCTTATTAGCTTGGGATTCAGCTTTAAATTTTAATTCTTCCAGATGTTGTAAAGTCTTTAATAATTTTTTTTTAATTTCAGCGTGAATAAAATAAAATAATTTAAATTAGTATTATAAATTAGTGTACGTAATGCAATTTTTAATAAATAAAAATAAAAATAATTTACGTGAATTCTTCACTTAGAAAAATCAGACTCATACTGAATTTTATTACTAATTTTATGACCATCTACTTTGAGTTTTTAGTCGGATTCATTCCTTTTCTCAACTTCAAACCTGGATTCATTCCCCCTCCCCCCATTTTTACCTTTTCTATTCCCTAACCAGTAAATCCCATCCATTAATTTTCCCCCCTTTTTTTTTTTCTCTTTCCTCTTTCCTTTTTCTTCTTTTTTCCTACTCTTATTTTTTTCTCCCTTGACTTATTAGCAACCCCTCCCAATTTCTCTTATTTCTCTTTCTTTTTTTCCCTTGCATTTTTCATTTTTCAGTATGTTCCTCTATTTACCTGTAATCGGTTTAAACCCAAAGTGAAAATTAAACTAAAAAAGATGAGGGATGAAAGAGGTTGATAGAGGAAAGGAAAGAAAGAAAGAAAGAGAACGATGAAAGAATAAAGAAAAAATG